TGGCGAGGAGGCTGAGTGTCTTGGGCTGGAGTGGAGGGAGTGTGGCGAGGAGGCTGAGTGTCTTGGGCTGGAGTGGAGGGAGTGTGGCGAGAGGCTGAGTGTCTTGGGCTGGAGTGGAGGGAGTGTGGCGAGGAGGCTGAGTGTCTTGGCTGGAGTGTGGGAGGAGGCTGAGTGTCTTCTTGGAGGGAGTGTGGCGAGGAGGCTGAGTGTCTTGGCTGGAGTGGAGGGAGTGTGGCGAGGAGGCTGAGTGTCTTGGGCTGGAGTGGAGGGAGTGTGGCGAGGAGGCTGAGTGTCTTGGGCTGAAGGGGAGGGAGTGCGGCGAGGAGCTGAGTGTCTTGGGCTGAGGCGAGGAGGCTGAGTGTCTTGGGCTGAGGGAGTGTGGCGAGGAGGCTGAGTGTCTTGGGCTGGAGGGAGTGTGGCGAGGAGGCTGAGTGTCTTGGGCTGGAGTGGAGGGAGTGTGGCGAGGAGGCTGAGTGTCTTGGGCTGGAGGGAGGGAGTGTGGCGAGGAGGCTGAGTGTCTTGGCTGGAGTGGAGGGAGTGTGGCGAGGAGGCTGAGTGTCTTGGGCTGAGGGAGGGAGTGCTGAGCTTGGAGTGTGGCGAGGAGGCTGAGTGTCTTGGCTGAGCTGAGTGTCTTGGGCTGGAGGGGGGAGTGTGGCGAGGAGGCTGAGTGTGGCTGAGGGGAGGGAGTGTGGCGAGGAGGCTGAGTGTCTTGGCTGGAGTGGAGGGAGTGTGGCGAGGAGGCTGAGTGTCTTGGGCGAGGGAGGCTGAGTGTCTTGGGCTGGAGTGGAGGAGTGTGGCGAGGAGGCTGAGTGTCTTGGGCTGAAGGGGAGGGAGTGTGGCGAGGAGGCTGAGTGTCTTGGGCTGGAGTGGAGGGAGGTGGCGAGGAGGCTGAGTGTCTTGGGCTGAGGAGGGAGTGTGGCGAGGAGGCTGAGTGTCTTGGGCTGGAGTGGGAGGGAGTGTGGCGAGGAGGCTGAGTGTCTTGTCTGGCGAGGAGGCTGAGTGTCTTGGCTGAGGGAGGGAGTGTGGCGAGGAGGCTGAGTGTCTTGGGCTGGAGTGGAGGGAGTGTGGCGAGGAGGCTGAGTGTCTTGGGCTGGAGGGAGGGAGTGTGGCGAGGAGGCTGAGTGTCTTGGCTGGAGTGGAGGGAGTGTGGCGAGGAGGCTGAGTGTCTTGGGCTGGAGTGGAGGGAGTGTGGGGAGGAGGCTGAGTGTCTTGGGCTGGAGTGGAGGGAGTGTGGCGAGGAGGCTGAGTGTCTTGGGCTGAGGGAGGAGAGGTGTGGCGAGGAGGCTGAGTGTCTTGGGCTGGAAGTGGAGGAGTGTGGGCGAGGAGGCTGAGTGTCTTGGGCTGGAGTGGAGGGAGTTGGCGAGGAGGCTGAGTGTCTTGGGCTGAAGGCTGGCGAGGAGGCTGAGTGTCTTGCTGGAGTGGAGGGAGTGTGGCGAGGAGGGAGTGTCTTGGGCTGCTGAGTGTCTTGGCTGGAGGAGTGGAGGGAGTGTGGGAGGAGGCTGAGTGTCTTGGGCTGGGAGTGGAGGGAGTGTGGCGAGGAGGCTGAGTGTCTTGGGCTGGAGTGGAGGGAGTGTGGCGAGGAGCTGAGTGTCTTGGCTGGAGTGTGCGAGGAGGCTGAGGGCTGAGGAGGGCTGAGTGGGCTGGAGTGGAGGGAGTGTGGCGAGGAGGCTGAGTGTCTTGGGCTGGAGTGGAGGAGTGTGGCGAGGAGGCTGAGTGTCTTGGGCTGGAGTGGAGGGAGTGTGGCGAGGAGGCTGAGTGTCTTGGGCTGGAGGGAGGGAGTGTGAGGAGGCTGAGTGTCTTGGGCTGGAGTGGAGGGAGTGTGGCGAGGAGGCTGAGTGTCTTGGGCTGGAGTGGAGGGAGTGTGGCGAGGAGGCTGAGTGTCTTGGGCTGAGTGGAGTGTGGCGAGGAGGCTGAGTGTGGCTGGAGGGAGGGAGTGTGGCGAGGAGGCTGAGTGTCTTGGGCTGGAGTGGAGGGAGTGCGGCGAGGAGGCTGAGTTGTCTTGGCTGGAGTGGAGAGGATGGGCGAGGGGCTGAGTGTCTTGGCTGAAGGAGAGGGAGTGTGGCGAGCGAGCTGAGTGTCTTTGGGCTGGAGTGGAGGAGGAAAGAAGAAAGAACGACGCATGTGCGAAGGGAGGAGGAGAACTGAGCAACGAAGGAAGGAGAACCGAGTGTCTTGGGCTAGAAGAAGATGGAAAGGAAGGAAGAGAATGTGCAGAGGAGGTCGAGAGTGTCTGGTGCTCGAGCGCAGGGAGTGTGCGCGAGAGTCTGATGGAGAAGAGTGTTGTCTCGTAGTAANCGAGGAGGGAGGTGTCTTGGGCTGGAAGGGAAAAGGGAAGTTGTGGGGAGAGGCTGAAGTGTCTTGGGCTGGAGGGGAAGGGAAGTGTGGGGAATGGGGGAGGCTGAGTGTCTTGGCTGGGAGTGGAGGGAGTGTGGCGAGGAGGCTGAGAGGGAGGGAGTGTGGCTGAGTGTCTTGGGCTGGAGTGGAGGGAGTGTGGCGAGGAGGCTGAGTGTCTTGGGCTGGAGGGGAGGGAGTGTGGGGAGGAGGCTGAGTGTCTTGGGCTGGAGGGGAGGGAGTGTGGCGAGAGGCTGAGTGTCTTGGGCTGGAGTGGAGGGTGGCGAGGAGGCTGATGGTCTTGGGCTGGAGTGGAGGGAGTGTGGCGAGGAGGCTGAGTGTCTTGGCTGGAGTGGAGGGAGTGTGGCGAGGAGGCTGAGTGTCTTGGGCTGGAGTTGGAGGGAGTGTGGCGAGGAGGCTGAGTGTCTTGGGCTGGAGTGGAGGGAGTGTGGCGAGGAGGCTGAGTGTCTTGGGCTGAAGGGGAGGGAGTGTGGCGAGGAGGCTGAGTGTCTTGGCTGGAGTGGAGGGTGTGGCGAGGAGGCTGAGTGTGGGCTGGAGTGGAGGGAGTGTGGCGAGGAGGCTGAGTGTCTTGGGCTGGAAGGAGGGAGTGTGGCGAGGAGGCTGAGTGTCTTGGGCTGGAGTGTGGCGAGGAGGCTGAGTGTCTTGGGCTGGAGGGAGCTGAGTGTCTTGGGCTGGAGTGGAGGGAGTGTGGCGAGGAGGCTGAGTGTCTTGGGCTGGAGTGGAGGGAGTGTGGCGAGGAGGCTGAGTGTCTTGGGCTGGAGGGGAGGGAGTGTGGCGAAGGAGGCTGAGTGTCTTGGGCTGAGGGGAGGGAGTGTGGCGAGGAGGCTGAGTGTCTTGGCTGGAAGTGGAGGGAGTGTGGCGAGGAGGCTGAGTGTCTTGGGCTGGAGTGGAGGGAGTGGCGAGGAGGCTGAGTGTCTTGGGCTGAAGTGGGAGGAGTGAGGAGGCTGAGTGGGCTGAGGAGGGAGTGAGGAGGCTGAGTGTCTTGGGCTGGAGTGGAGGGAGTGTGGGGAGGAGGCTGAGTGTCTTGGGCTGGAGTGGAGGGAGTGTGGCGAGGAGGCTGAGTGTCTTGGCTGAGGGAGGGAGTGTGGCGAGGAGGCTGAGTGTCTTGGGCTGGAGTGGAGGGAGTGTGCGAGGAGGCTGAGTGTCTTGGGCTGAGTGTGGCGAGGAGGCTGAGTGTCTTGGGCTGGAGTGGAGGAGTGTGGCGAGGAGGCTGAGTGTCTTGGGCTGGAGTGGAGGGAGTAGGAGGCTGAGTGTCTTGGGCTGGAGTGGAGGGAGTGTGGCGAGGAGGCTGAGTGTCTTGGGCTGGAGGGGAGGGAGTGTGGGAGGAGGCTGAGTGTCTTGGGCTGGAGGGGAGGGAGTGTGGCGAGGAGGCTGAGTGTCTTGGGCTGGAGTGGAGGGAGTGTGGGCGAGGAGGCTGAGTGTCTTGGGCTGGAGGGAGGGAGTGTGGAGGAGGCTGAGTGTCTTGGGCTGGAGGGGAGGGAGTGTGGCGAGGAGGCTGAGTGTCTTGGGCTGGAGTGGAGGGAGTGTGGCGAGGAGGCTGAGTGTCTTGGGCTGGAGTGGAGGGAGTGTGGCGAGGAGGCTGAGTGTCTTGGGCTGGAGGGGAGGGAGTGTGGCGAGGAGGCTGAGTGTCTTGGGCTGGAGTGGAGGGAGTGTGGCGAGGAGGCTGAGTGTCTTGGGCTGGAGTGGAGGGAGTGTGGCGAGGAGGCTGAGTGTCTTGGGCTGGAGTGGAGGGAGTGTGGCGAGGAGGCTGAGTGTCTTGGGCTGGAAGGAGGAGGCTGAGTGTCTTGGCTGGAGGGGAGGGAGTGTGGCGAGGAGGCTGAGTGTCTGGGCTCGAGGAGGCTGAGTGTCTTGGGCTGTGGGGGAGTGTGGGGAGGAGGCTGAGTGTCTTGGGCTGGAGGGGAGGGAGTGTGGCGAGGAGGCTGAGTGTCTTGGGCTGGGTGGAGGGAGTGTGGCGAGGAGGCTGAGTGTCTTGGGCTGGAGTGGAGGGAGTGTGGCGAGGAGGCTGAGTGTCTTGGGCTGAGTGGAGGGAGTGTGGCGAGGAGGCTGAGTGTCTTGGGCTGGAGTGGAGGGAGTGTGGCGAGGAGGCTGAGTGTCTTGGGCTGGAGTGGAAGGGAGTGTGGCGAGGAGGCTGAGTGTCTTGGGCTGGAGTGGAGGGAGTGTGGCGAGGAGGCTGAGTGTCTTGGGCTGGAAGTGGAGGGAGTGTGGGGAGGAGGCTGAGTGTCTTGGGCTGGAGTGGAGGGAGTGTGGCGAGGAGGCTGAGTGTCTTGGGCTGGAGTGGAGGGAGTGTGGCGAGGAGGCTGAGTGTCTTGGGCTGGAGTGGAAGGGAGTGTGGCGAGGAGGCTGAGTGTCTTGGGCTGGAGTGGAGGAGTGGGCGAGGAGGCTGAGTGTCTTGGGCTGGAGTGGAGGGAGTCTGAGTGTCTTTGGGCTGGAGTGGAGGGAGTGTGGCGAGGAGGCTGAGTGTCTTGGGCTGGAGTGGAGGGAGTGTGGCGAGGAGGCTGAGTGTCTTGGGCTGGAGTGGAGGGAGTGTGGCGAGGAGGCTGAGTGTCTTGGGCTGGAGTGGAGGGAGTGTGGCGAGGAGGCTGAGTGTCTTGGGCTGGAGTGGAGGGAGTGTGGCGAGGAGGCTGAGTGTCTTGGGCTGAAGGGGAGGGAGTGTGGCGAGGAGGCTGAGTGTCTTGGGCTGGAGTGGAGGGAGTGTGGCGAGGAGGCTGAGTGTCTTGGGCTGGAGTGGAGGAGTGTGGCGAGGAGGCTGAGTGTCTTGGGCTGGAGGGAGGGAGTGTGGCGAGGAGGCTGAGTGTCTTGGGCTGGAGTGGAGGGAGTGTGCGAGGAGGCTGAGTGTCTTGGGCTGGAGTGGAGGGAGTGTGGCGAGGAGGCTGAGTGTCTTGGGCTGGAGGGAGGGAGTGTGGCGAGGAGGCTGAGTGTCTTGGGCTGGAGTGGAGGGAGTGTGGCGAGGAGGCTGAGTGTCTTGGGCTGGAGTGGAGGGAGTGTGGCGAGGAGGCTGAGTGTCTTGGCTGGAGTGGAGGGAGTGTGGCGAGGAGGCTGAGTGTCTTGGCTGGAGTGGAGGGAGAGGAGGCTGAGTGTCTTGGGGAGTGGAGGCTGAGTGTCTTGGGCTGGAGTGGAGGGAGTGTGGCGAGGAGGCTGAGTGTCTTGGGCTGGAGTGGAGGGAGTGAGGAGGCTGAGTGTCTTGGGCTGGAGTGGAGGGAGTGTGGCGAGGAGGCTGAGTGTCTTGGGCTGGAGTGGAGGGAGTGTGGCGAGGAGGCTGAGTGTCTTGGGCTGGAGTGGAGGGAGTGTGGCGAGGAGGCTGAGTGTCTTGGGCTGGAGTGGAGGGAGTGTGGCGAGGAGGCTGAGTGTCTTGGGCTGGAGTGGAGGGAGTGTGGCGAGGAGGCTGAGTGTCTTGGGCTGGAGGGAGGGAGTGTGGCGAGGAGGCTGAGTGTCTTGGGCTGGAGTGGAGGGAGTGTGGCGAGGAGGCTGAGTGTCTTGGGCTGGAGTGGAGGGAGTGTGGCGAGGGGCTGAGTGTCTTGGGCTGAGGGGAGGGAGTGTGGCGAGGAGGCTGAGTGTCTTGGGCTTGGAGCTGGAGTGGAGGGAGTGCGGCGAGGAGGCTGAGTGTCTTGGGCTGGAGGGAAGGGAGTGTGGCGAGGAGGCTGAGTGTCTTGGCTGGAGTGGAGGGAGTGTGCGAGGAGGCTGAGTGTCTTGGGCTGGAGTGGAGGGAGTGTGGCGAGGAGGCTGAGTGTCTTGGGCTGGAGTGGAGGGAGTGTGGCGAGGAGGCTGAGTGTCTTGGGCTGGAGTGGAGGGAGTGTGGCGAGGAGGCTGAGTGTCTTGGGCTGGAGTGGAGGAGTGTGGCGAGGAGGCTGAGTGTCTTGGGCTGGAGTGGAGGGAGTGTGGGCGAGGAGGCTGAGTGTCTTGGGCTGGAGTGGAGGGAGTGTGGCGAGGAGGCTGAGTGTCTTGGCTGGAGTGGAGGGAGTGTGGCGAGGAGGCTGAGTGTCTTGGGCTGAGTGGAGGGAGTGTGGCGAGGAGGCTGAGTGTCTTGGGCTGGAGTGGAGGGAGTGTGGCGAGGAGGCTGAGTGTCTTGGGCTGGAGTGGAGGGAGTGTGGGCGAGTGTCTTGGGCTGTGGAGGGAGTGTGGGGAGGAGGCTGAGTGTCTTGGCTGGAGTGGAGGAGTGTGGCGAGGAGGCTGAGTGTCTTGGGCTGGAGTGGAGGGAGTGTGGCGAGGAGGCTGAGTGTCTTGGGCTGGAGTGGAGGGAGTGTGGCGAGGAGGCTGAGTGTCTTGGGCTGAGTGTCTTGGGCTGGAGTGGAGGGGTGGCGAGGAGGCTGAGTGTCTTGGGCGAGGAGGCTGAGTGTCTTGGGCTGGAGTGGAGGGAGTGTGGCGAGGAGGCTGAGTGTCTTGGGCTGGAGTGGAGGGAGTGCGGCGAGGAGGCTGAGTGTCTTGGGCTGGAGTGGAGGGAGTGCGGCGAGGAGGCTGAGTGTCTTGGGCTGGAGTGGAGGGAGTGTGGCGAGGAGGCTGAGTGTCTTGGGCTGGAGTGGAGGGAGTGTGGCGAGGAGGCTGAGTGTCTTGGCTGGAGTGGAGGGAGTGCGGCGAGGAGGCTGAGTGTCTTGGGCTGGAGTGGAGGGAGTGTGGCGAGGAGGCTGAGTGTCTTGGGCTGGAGTGGAGGGAGTGTGGCGAGGAGGCTGAGTGTCTTGGGCTGAAGGGGAGGGAGTGTGGGGGAGGAGGCTGAGTGTCTTGGGCTGGAGTGGAGGGAGTGTGGCGAGGAGGCTGAGTGTCTTGGGCTGAGTGAGGAGGCTGAGTGTCTTGGGCTGGAGGGAGGGAGTGTGGCGAGGAGGCTGAGTGTCTTGGGCTGGAGTGGGGGAGTGTGGCGAGGAGGATGAGTGTCTTGGGCTGGAGTGGAGGGAGTGTGGCGAGGAGGCTGAGTGTCTTGGGCTGGAGTGGAGGGAGTGTGGCGAGGAGGCTGAGTGTCTTGGGCTGGAGTGGAGGGAGTGCGGCGAGGAGGCTGAGTGTCTTGGGCTGGAGTGGAGGGAGTGTGGCGAGGAGGCTGAGTGGGGCTGGAGTGGAGGGAGTGTGGCGAGGAGGCTGAGTGTCTGGGCTGAGTGGAGAGGGAGTGTGGCGAGGAGGCTGAGTGTCTTGGGCTGGAGTGGAAGGAGTGTGGCGAGGAGGCTGAGTGGGCTCGGCGAGGGCTGAGTGTCTTGGCTGGAGTGGAGGGAGTGGGCGAGGAGGCTGAGTGTCTTGGGCTGGAGTGGAGGGAGTGCGGCGAGGAGGCTGAGTGTCTTGGGCTGGAGTGGAGGGAGTGTGGCGAGGAGGCTGAGTGTCTTGGGCTGGAGTGGAGGAGTGTGGCGAGGAGGCTGAGTGTCTTGGGCTGAAGGGGAGGAGTGCGGCGAGGAGGCTGAGTGTCTTGGGCTGGAGTGGAGGGAGTTGCGAGGAGGCTGAGGGAGGCTGTCTTGGCGAGGGAGGAGTGCTGCGAGGAGGCTGAGTGTCTTGGGCTGGAGTGGAGGGAGTGTGGCGAGGAGGCTGAGTGTCTTGGGCTGGAGTGGAGGGAGTGTGGCGAGAGGCTGAGTGTCTTGGCTGAAGGGAGGGAGTGTGGCTGAGGGAGGTGTGGGCGAGGAGGCTGAGTGTCTTGGGCTGGAGTGGAGGAGTGTGCGAGGAGTGTCGGGCTGAAGGAGGGTGAGGAGCTGAGTGTCTTGGGCTGGAGGAGTGAGAGGAGGTGGGCTGGGGAGGAGGCTGAGGCTGTGTCTTGGCTGGAGTGCAGGAGTGTGGAGGAGGGAGTGTCTTGAGTGGGAGGGTGTGCCTGAGTTCTTGGGCTGGAGGGGAGGGAGGTGGCGAGGAGGCTGAGTGTCTTGGGCTGGATGGAGGGAGTGTGGCGAGGAGGCTGAGTGTCTTGGGCTGAAGGGGAGGGAGTGTGGCGAGGAGCTGAGTGTCTTGGGCTGGGGAGGAGTGTGGCGAGGGGCTGAGTGTCTTGGGCTGGAGTGGAGGGAGTGTGGCGAGGAGGCTGAGTGTCTTGGGCTGGAGGGAGGAGTGTGGCGAGGAGGCTGAGTGTCTTGGGCTGAAGGGGATGGGAGTGTGGCGAGGAGGCTGAGTGTCTTGGTGGAGTGGAGGAGTGTGGCGAGGAGCTGAGTGTCTTGGGCTGAGTGGAGGCAGGAGGCTGAGTGTCTTGGGCTGGAAGGGAGTGTGGCGAGGAGGCTGAGTGTCTTGGGCTGAGTGGAGGAGTGTGGCGAGGAGGCCTGAGTGTCTTGGCTGGAGTGGAGGGAGTGTGGCGAGGAGGCTGAGTGTCTTGGGCTGAAGGGAGGGAGTGTGTCGAGGAGGCTGAGTGTCTTGGGCTGGAGTGGAGGAGTGTGAGGAGGCTGAGTGTCTTTGGCTGGAGTGGAGTGTGGCGAGGAGGCGAGTGTCTTGGCTGGAGTGGAGGGAGTGTGGCTGAGGAGGCTGAGTGTCTTGGCTGGAAGTGAGAGGAGTGGAGGAGCTGAGTGTCTTGGCTGGAGTGGAGGATTGGCGAGGAGGCTGAGTGTCTTGGGCTGGAGGGGAGGAGTGCGGCGAGGAGGCTGAGTGTCTTGGGCTGGAGTGGAGGGGCGAGGAGGCTGAGTGTCTTGAGTGGAGAGTGGCGAGAGGCTGAGTGTTTGGGGCTGGAGGGAGGGAGTGCGGAGGAGGCTGAGTGTCTTGGGCCTGGAGTGGAGGACGGCGAGGAGGCTGAGTGTCTTGGGCTGGAGTGGAGGAGTGTGGCGAGGAGGCTGAGTGTCTTGGGCTGGAGTGGAGGGAGTGTGGCGAGGAGGCTGAGTGTCTTGGGCTGGAGTGCGAGGAGTGCCGAGAGGCTGAGTCTTGGGCTGGAGTGGAGGGAGTGTGGCGAGGAGGCTGAGTGTCTTGGGCTGGTGTTTTGGCTGAAGGGGAGGAGTGTGGCGAGGAGGCTGAGTGTCTTGGGCTGGAGTGGAGGGAGTGTGGGAGGCTGAGTGTCTTGGGCTGGAGTGGAGGGAGTGTCGAGGAGGCTTGAGTGTCTTGGGCTGGAGGGGAGGGAGTGTGGAGGAGGCTGAGTGTCTTGGGCTGCGAGTGAGGGAGTCGAGGAGGCTGAGTGTCTTGGGCTGGAAGTGGAGGAGTGTGGCGAGGAGGCTGAGTGTCTTGGGCTGGAGTGGAGGGCGAGTGGTGCGAGGAGGCTGAGTGTCTTGGGCTGGAGTGGAGGAGTGTGGCGAGGAGGCTGAGTTCTTGGGCTGAAGGGAGGGAGTGTGGCCGAGGGAGGCTGAGTGTCTTGGGCTGAGTGGAGGAGTGTGGCGAGGAGGCTGAGTTCTTGGGCTGGAGTGGAGGAGGTGTGCGAGGAGGCTGAGTGTCTTGGCTGGGAGTGGGAGGAGTTGGCGAGGAGGCTGAGTGTCTTGGCTGGAGTGGAGGGAGTGTGCGAGGAGGCTGAGTGCTTGGCTGGAGTGGAGGGAGTGTGGCGAGGAGGCTGAGTGTCTTGGGCTGGAGTGGAGAGTTGGGCGAGGAGGGAGTGTGGCGAGGAGGAGCTGAGTGTCTTGGGCTGGAGTGGAGGGAGTGTGGCGAGGAGGCTGAGTGTCTTGGGCTGGAGTGGAGGGAGTGTTGGCGAGGAGGCTGAGTGTCTTTGGGCTGGTGGAGGAGTGTGGGAGAGGCTGAGTGTCTTGGCTGAGTGAGGCTGAGTGTCTGGAGCTGAGAGTGGCTGGAGGCGGAGTAGTGGCGAGGAGGCTGAGTGTCTTGGGCTGATGTGGAGGGAGTTGTGCGAGGGAGCGCTGAGTGTCTTGGCTGGAGTGGAGGGAGTGCGGCGAGGAGGCTGAGTGTCTTGGGCTGGAGTGGAGGAGTGTGGCGGCTGAGTGTCCTTGGGCTGGAGGGAGGGAGTGCTGAGGAGGAGAGTTGAGTGTCCGGAGGCTGAGTGTCGGGCTGAGTGGAGGAGGTGGCGAGAGCTGAGTGTCTTGAGTGTCTGGGCTGAGTTCTTGGCTGGAGTGAGGAGTGTGGGAGGAGGCTGAGTGTTCTTGGGCTGGAGTGGAGGAGTGCGGCGAGGAGGCTGAGGTCTTGGGCTGGAGCGAGAGCTGTGGCGAGGGAGCTGAGTGCTGCGGCTGAGGGAAGTGTGAGAGGAGCTGAGTGTTGGGCTGGATGGCGAGGATGTGCGAGGAGGCTGAGTGTCTTGGGCTGGAGGGAGGGAGTGTGCGAGGAGGCTGAGTGTCTTGGGCTGGAAGGGAGGGAGTGTGGCGAGGAGGCTGAGTGTCTTGGGCTGAGTGGAGGGAGTGTGGCGAGAGGCTGAGTGTCTTGCGGGTGGAGGAGTGGAGGGAGTGTGGCTGGAGTGAGGAGTGTGGCCTGAGTGTCTTGGGGCTGGAGGGGAGGAGTGCGGAGGGAGGCTGAGTTCTTGGTGAAGGAGGTAGTGGCCGAAGGAGGCTGATAGTGTCTTGGGCTGAGGGAGGGAGTGTGGCGAGGAGGCTGAGTGTCTTGGGCTGGAGGGAGGCTTGTGGGCGAGGAGCGCTGAGTGTCTTGGGCTGGAGTGGAGGAGGTGGCGGAGGAGGCTGAGTGTCTTGGCGAAGGCGGACGAGTGCTGGCGAGGAGGCTGAGTGTCTCGGGCTGTAGTGGAGAGTGTGGCGAGAGCTGATGTGATGCGCGAAGGCGAGATCTGTGCGGGGCTAGTGTCTTGGGCTCGGAGTGGAGGAGTTGTGCGAGAGGCTGATGTCTGGCTGGATGACGGGTGCGGCGAGTGAGGCGAGTGTCTCGGGCTGGAGTGAGGAGGATGCGAGGAAGCTGAGTGTTTGGGCTGAGTTGGAAGGGAGCCTGTGCTGATGAGCCGAGTGTCTTGGGCTGAGTGGAGGGAGTGCTGCGTGATGCTTGAGCTTCTTGCGGCTGGAGGGATGCGGTTTAGTGTGGCGAGGAGGCTGAGTTCTTGGCTGAGTGGAGGGGAGTGTGCAGAGGAGCTGAGTGTCTTTGCTGAGCTGGAGGAGTGCGGCAGGCCTGAGTGTCTCGGGTATGGAGGAGGTTTGCGAGGAGCGAGTGCTCTTTGGCTGGACGGAGGGAGTGTGCGCGAGAGTCTGAGTGTCTTGGCTGGAGTGAGGAGTGTCGGAGGCTGAGTTCTTGGCTGAGTGGAGGAGTGCGGCGGGAGCGTAGTGCTGCTGCGATGGAGGGAGTGTGGCGAGGGAGGCTGATTTCTTGGCTGAAGTGCAGGTGTAGGCGGCGAGGAGGCTGAGTGTCTTGCTGAAGCGGAGGAGTGCGGCGAGCGAGGCTGAGTGTCTTGTGGATGTGGACGTGAGTTGCGAGGAGGCTTGAGTAGTCCTTGGCTGAGGGAGGAGTGTGGCGAGAGCCTTAGTGTCTTGGCTGGAATGAGAGGGAGTTGCGCGAGCGAGGCCTGAGTTGTCTTGCTGGAGTGAGGAGTGTGGCGAGGAGGCTGAGTTGTCTTGGCTGGAGTGAGGGAGTCGCGAGGAGCCTGATGTCTTGGTGGATTGGAAGGAGTGGGGGAGTAGTGAGGTCTTGGGCTGGAGTGCAGTTGTGGCGAGCTGAGCTGGTGTCTTGGCCTGGAGCGGGAGGGAGTTGGCGAGGAGGCTGGTGTCTTGGGCTGGAGTGCGAGGAGTGTGCCGAGGAGGCTGAGGTCATTGGCTGGAGTGGAGAGGCGGCGAGGAGCTGAGTGCTCTTGGGCTGATGAGTAGTTGGCGAGGAGCTGAGTTGTCTTGGGTAAAGGGGAAGGGAAATTGGGCCCGGAGAGCTGAGTGTCTTGGCTGAAGCGTGAGGGAGTGTTGCAAGGAGGCTGAGTGTCGTTGGCTGGTGAGGAGTGTGCGAGGAGGCGACGTGCCTTGGCAGAAAGGGAGGGGTGCGGCGAGGAGGCGAGAACTGTCTTGCTGAAGCAGGGAGCGTGCGAGGAGGCTGAGTGTCTTGGGCTGAAGGGAGAGTGGTCGAGGAGCTTGAGTTCTTGACTGAGTGGAGGAGGTGCCGAGGAGGCTGAGTGTCTTGCGCTTGGCAGTGCGAGGAGCTGTTGGCGAGTCTGAGTTCTTGGGCTGAAAGGAGGCGGTGTGCGAGGAGCGAGGTCTTGGGCTGAAGGGCGAGGATGTGCGAGGAGGCTGAGTTCTTGGGCTGGAATTGGAGGTAGTTGTGCGAGGAGCGCAGTGTCTTGGGCCCTGAAGGGAGGGAGTGTGGCGAGGAGCTGAGGTCTTGGGCTGAGTGGAAGGCGAGTGTGAGGAGGAGCTGAGTGTTCTTGTGGCTGGAGTGGAGGGGAGTTGGAGGAGGTCTGAGTGACTTGGCGAGGCGAGGAGTGTGGCTGAGAGCTGAGTGTCTTTGGGTTGGAGGAGGAGTTGGAGAGGCTGAGTGTTTGGCTTGAAGTGCGAGAGTGTGGAGGAGGGCTGAGTGTCTTGCTTGGAGTGGAGAGTGTTGCGAGGAGGACTGAACGTTTGCTCGGGCTTGGAGTCAGGAGTCTGTGGCAGGAGTGAGTGTCTGGCTAAGGGAGGGAGTGTGGCGAGGAGCGATGCTGGCTGAAGGGAGGAGTTTGCGAGGAGTCTGAGTGTCTGGCTGGATGGACGGAGTGTGCAGGAGCTGAGTGTCTTGGGCTGAAGAGGGAGCTGTTAGAGGGGGACTTTTGGGTGATATGGCTGGATGGATTTAGGTGCTAGGCGGTTGGTGATATTCTCCCTTTTTCCCGTCAGTGTGTCGTTGGTGGGTGTGTGTGTGTGTGGGGGTGGGTGGGTCGTGGGGTGTTGGGTGTGTGTGGGTGTGGTGAGTGTGTGTGGGGTGAGAGTTGTTTGTCGTGTGTGTCTGTAATGGTGGTGGTGTTTGGGGTGTTTGTGTGGGTGGTGTTGTGGAGGTGGCGTGTGGGTGTGTGTGGGTGGGTTGTGTGGGGGTGTGTGTGGGGGGCGTGGAGGTGGTGTGTTTGGTTGGGTGGTGTTGTGTGATGTGGTGTATGTGTGTTGTGTTTGTGGTGTGGTGGTGTGTGGTGTGTGTGTGTGTGTGTGTGGTGTGTGTGTCCTAGACTTAGATGTATTATCCGTGTCGCATTCTGGATTTAATTAAGGAAAGGGTGAAGGCGTCTTCCAGTTCCGTTGTCAGTTGCTGTTCCCATTGATGCAGGATTTCAGAATAAGTGAAATTGAGCATTAAAATCTCCCCAAGTGGTCTTAGTATCATCAGAGAGTTGAGCTAAGTCTAGGTTCTTTGTCGACATGGCTGACGGTATGGTGTTGTTGAGGTGATATATCCCAACATAATGAGACTGATAATAGGTAACCCTCATTAACACAAATTGGCAAGAACAATAGATGGTACAATGCACCATTTCATAAGCTGTAATTGCTGAAGCTGAACCAAGTACCAAATAATCGTTTGATTTATGATATTTAAGAGAGATAAAGAGACAGAGAGAAAGAGAGAGAGACCGAGAGTGAGAGTATATATGAGAGAGAGAGAATATATATATATATATATATATATATATATATATATATATATATATATATATATATATATATATATTTAATTCAAGCTTTAGTAGATGGCATCTACTAATTCTACAACTTGGGCCCCGTCGACCAAGCTGACATTAGTCCTCAAACTTATGACATTCCGTTGTAGACATCTAGAGAGAGGGTTGCCAACGAGGCTTTGTTATAAAACGTCTCCATAATTAGCACGAGTGGCCAGATGATCTGCCGCTTACGAAAAAAACCTCAAGATGTATTACACAAGAGGTTCTTCGTTCTTAATTACCTCTGGCACGAACGAATGATGCAGAGTGTTATTGACAGAAGGTCATCCGTCAGTAGATTATAGAGGGCGTTGCGGTGGGTCTTCGACAGCCTGTCCTTCGCTCTGATCCCTCGCGTGGGGTGACTCTCGAACTTCTTGACCCTGACAGTTCACGGGGTATATGGCAAAGGTTGTGCGAATGACGAAATGCATAAGGTTTTATTCACTCAATGTCGTATCAGCAACGCAAGCTAGCAGAGAAGGGAGTTAGGTAGGAGGGGCTATGGGGCGACTCAAACACGCACGCACGCACGCACGCACGCACGCACGCACGCACGCACGCACGCACGCACACACACACACACACACACACACAACACACACACACACACACACACACACACACACACACACACACACACACACAACACACACACACAATATACACAGTCAACACACAAACAAACACACAGACACACATATATATCATATATTTACATATATATATATATATATATATAATATATATATATACTAGATATAGATATATAGATATATGTGTGTGTGTGTGTGTGTGTATGTGTATGTGTATGTGTATGTATATATATCTATATCATATAGTTTCCCTTCCTCTTCATTCTCCTCTTTCCTGTTTGTCTGTATCTCCTTCTCCCATTTCATTATTATTGAAGATACACCTTTTTATCAACTGCCATTAATCAGTTATTATTAACTATCATCCCGTCTCTTCAACACTGCTTCTCGCAGTTAACCTCCATTCTCTCTTTTATTGATATTTCTTTCGTGAATTATACTTACGTTCATTCATCCATTCATCCGCCGTACGTCGCCGTGTCTTTCATTCATGAATATGTACATAATTCCCTTTGAAAGTTGCGTTCGCTTTGTCAACAACCCTGCGGCGGCCTTTTCATTCATGGGGCCTTTTACCGTCTGAGAAAACTGACAGTATTTTCGGAATGGAAATTTCTCTTGCTCTTTAATATTGTGCTTATATATATATGTATATTATATATATATATATATATATATATATATATTATATATATATATATATATGTATATATGATGTATATATGTATGTATATATATATATATATATATATATATATATATATATATATATATATACCTATATATATATGCACACTCACACACACACACACACACACACACGNAGGGAGAAGAGAGGGAGAGAGAGGAGGGAGAAGAGAGAGAAATGAGGGAAAAGAGAGAGAAAGGAGGGAAAAGAGAGAGAAAGGAGGGAAAAGAGAGAGAGAGGAAGGAGAAAAGAGAAAGAGGAGGGAGAAGAGAGAGAGAGGATGGAGAAGAGACAGAGAGAGGGGGGGAGAAGAGAGAGAGAGAGGGGGGGAGAAGAGAGAGAGAGAGGAGGGAGAGGAGGAATGCCAGTGACATTAACCATGTACAAAATTTTTCGTATAACTTCGTATAATTTATGCTATTCGAAGCTATTCCGGATAGGAGGGAAAAGAGAGAAAGAGGAGGAAGAAGAGAAAGAGAGGAGGGAGAAGAGAGGGGGAGGAGGGAGAGGAGAGAGAGGAGGGAGAAGAGAGAAAGAGAGAGAATGATGGAGAAAGAGAGAGAGAAAGAGAGAAGAAAAAAGAGAAAGAGAGAGAAAAGAGAGAGAAGAGAGAAAGAGAGAGGAGAGAGAGGAGGGAGGAGAGAGGGGAGAGAGAAGAGAGAGAGAAGAGAAGAGAGAGAGAAGAGAAGAGAGAGAGAAGAGAGAAGAGAGAGAGATAGAGGAGGGAGAAGAGAGAAAGAGAGAGGAGAGAGAGGAGGGAGGAGAGAGGGGAGAGAGAGGGGGGGGGGGGGAGGGGAGAGGAGAGAGAGGGGAGAGAGAAGAGAGAGAGAAGAGAGAAGAGAGAGAAGAGAGAGAGAGAGATGAGGGAGAAGAGAGAGAGAGGATGGAGAAGAGACAGAGAGAGGGGGGGAGAGGAGGGAGGGGGGGGGGGGGAGGGGAGAGGAGAGAGAGGAGAGAGGAGAGAGAGGAGGGAGAAGAGGGAGGGAGAGGAAGAAGGGAGAGGAGGGAGGAGAGGGGGGGAGAGGAGGGAGGGGGGGGGGGGGGGGGAGAGAGAGAGGAGGGAGGAGAGATAGATAGATAGATATATAGATAAATAGATAGATAGATGAAGAGAGAGAGAGAGAAAGAGAAAATAGAAGAGAGAGAGAAGAGAGAAGAGAGAGAAGAGAGAAAAGAGAGAGAAGAGAGAGAGAAGAGAGAGAGAAGAGAGAAGAGAGAAGAGAGAGAGATAGAGGAGGGAGAAGAGAGGGGGAGGAGGGAGAGGAGGGAGAGGAAGAATGCCAGTGACATTAACCATGTACAAAATTTTTCGTATAACTTCGTATAATGTATGCTATACGAAGTTATTACGATGGAGAGGAGGGAGGAGAGGGGGGGAGGGGGGGGGGAGAAGAGAGAGATGAGAGGGGAAGAGAAGAGAGAGAGAAGAGAAGAGAGAGAGAAGAGAAGAGAGAGAGAGGAGGGAGAAGAGAGATAAAGGAGGGAGAAGAGAGAGAGGAGAGAGAAAAAAGAGAGAGAGAGGAAGGAGAAGAGAGAGAGAGAGAATGATGGAGAAAGAGAGAGAGAAAGAGAAAATAGAAGAGAGAGAGAAGAGAGAAGAGAGAGAAGAGAGAAAAGAGAGAGAAGAGAGAAAAGAGAGAGAGAGAGGAAAAGGGAAAAAGAGAGAGAGAGAGGAAGGAGAAAAGAGAAAGAGGAGGGAGAAGAGAGGGGGAGGAGGGAGAGGAGAGAGAGGAGGGAGAGAGAGAGAGAGGGGAGGGAGAAGAGAGAGGGAGGAGGGAGAAGAGAGAAAGAGAGAGTGGAGGGAAAAGAGAGAGGGAGGAGGGAGAAGAGAAAGAGAGGAGGGAGAAGAGAGGGAGAGAGAGGAGGGAGAGAGAGAGAGAGAAAGAGAAAATAGAAGAGAGAGAGAAGAGAAGAGAGAGAGAGGAGGGAAAAGAGAGAGGGAGGAGGGAGAAGAGAAAGAGAGGAGGGAGAAGAGAGGGGGAGGAGGGAGAAGAGAGAGAGAGAGAGGAGGGAGAAGAGGGAGGGAGAGGAAGAAGGGAGAGGAGGGAGGAGAGATAGATAGATAGATAGATAGATAGATAGATAGATAGATAGAGATAGATATATAGATAAATAGATAGATAGATAGATAGATAGAGAGAAGAGAAAAGAGAGAAGAGAGAAGAGAGAAGAGAGAAGAGAGAGAGAAGAGAAGAGAGAGAGAAGAGAAGAGAGAGAGAGAGAGGAGAGAAGAGAGAGAGATAGAGGAGGGAGAAGAGAGAAAGAGAGAGGAGAGAGAGAGAGAGAGGAGGGAGAGGAGGGAGAGGAGGAATGCCAGTGACATTAACCATGTACAAAATTTTGAACAAACCCTCCAACAAAGATCTTTGCAGGAATGGGCATCAATTCCAGACTGGGTAATTGGTGAAGTTAATTTGGAAAAAAGAATTACAGTACTATACATTAGATTCTAAAATCTACTGACTAAAAAGACAAAAAGAAGTAAGGGCAATACAACAGCACAAAATAAAAAACATTTGAGCAAAACAGCACATTCCTCAAGAAAAATAACCTACATGTACAAATAATCACTATAATTTGTTAACATTTTGTCTACATTTTGTTTTAAGTTTAACCATATCACAATGAATATTTCTGTCCACAAAAATCATAAATCTCTACACTACCTATAGCCCTATTAAAATATGCAAATATTATTGCTTTTCTATAATGTTTCAACAATGACTTTGGTTTGTGTGCACTAACAAAGGTTTCTGACATTGGTATTTCAACAGAACTGATTTGTGAAAAGATTAGGTAGCACTTAAGCAATGGCTTATAAAGAACATATAAAATAAAGCATTAGGTATACCTAAAAAAAAAAAAGGAAGTGACCACGACTACAGCAGAAAAGCCCCCAACTGGTGCCCTGCACATGTGATGAAACAAATAGTTGTAGAAGTTTAAAAGAGTGACGCGGAAGAAAAAGAGTCAGATACAACATAGTTTAAGCTGCAGCAGCCTCATAGTCATCGCTAAATGATGAAAATGTACCTCGCTCTCGCCACTCAAATTTTAAGTCTCAAATCTTCTTTACCTTGCCAGGAATAACACAACACTAACCGCTTAACTGAGGAGCACAGAGTGGACTTAGGCTTTGTGGCGTTATCATTCATATCTGCAGATTATGTCTTGTACCAATGACAGCAACTTTTTCTCCTCTCCAAGAGTATCACATTTAATTTATCCTAACTTAGCGCATCCATACCAAAACGATTAACCAAACAATACATGAGAAGATGATACATTCTCAATTAGGTTTAGTTTGGTTAAGCTAGGTTTGATTAGATTAGGTTAATACTTATTACCTGGAAATAATGTTTATATGTGCATATGCATATGTATGCCATACACCTAACTGCAGAAAAATCTGATACGGCTGCCATACATGTAACACCAACCATAAAAAAGCCTACCCAAATCCCCATTTACACATCAAGTGATTTTGTGGCTGTCATGCTCCAGACTCTGACAGCAGAAACTCTAACTAGTTCAATCAGGCAAGTTAAATATTGTAAACAATATTAGGCTCCTGCTTGCAAAGTAACTGTACTCCACTGTTCTGGGAGTTTGCTAGACTACAATTCACATGGGCTGCATGAGTGGGCTCTATTCTAGATTCTAATTAAGTAAAAGTTGAAAGGCTTATCCTTATAAAAAAAAGTTGCCCATTCTTTCTGCTATTTAAGCTCGCCTTTCCCCTGATACCTTTCATGCCCTCCACTGGTATTGGGGGGGCAAGCTTATGGTCATAGGGAAGCTTAGGGAATAAAAGCAACATAAGAGCATTATAAACGGTGAGAGGAACCGAATTATACACAAACGTATTAGAAAAAATGTCCTTAATAATCTTACAATAAATACAGGTTAGTCTAGTACTCCTGTTGCTATACAAGATCTCTTGGTACACACCTAGTACATACGTTTTCATTTCCTCCCACAATTCCTTGCATCTTCTGCCTCGCAACTAAAAGAAGAGTTAACATTGCAAGCAAATCCATTGAAAATCGCATCTGACTTTCAATGTGTTTAAATACAACAAAAGCACGAGTCTGAGCAGAATTATAAACACAACAGGGGTAAGATATCCACCAAAAGCAGACGCAAGCAGAGACTTTGATTTGATATTCGATAAAGTCTCAAACAAGTGACACAAACGAAAACGAGAAAAAATTCCGCGAATTCGGTCCCTTTCAAGCGAGGATTTTTAACTCGTCCTGGACCCACGAACGTTCCCTCTTTTCAAAGCAATTTTCCCCCGCTTTCCCTACTATTCACGCTTCGTCAGCTCTTCTACACGTCCCTTGAGGCTTCACTCAACCCACAAACACAAAGGAAATCACAACACTTACCTTACAGACGAGATAATGTCATAAATTCTTTCCGAGATGTTTGACAACAACCTTCCTGTCTGACAATTGTTTACTCCCCGCTGCTGCCACCTGTCGGCCGCTCCGCAAACCACGCGGGTTGACACATGAAGGGGCAACGGAAGCAATAACATTTTTGTATTTGTAGTGATTGCCATACAGTGAGGGCAATAGTTAGAATGAAATTCAAAGAGCACTAACAATAGTATTTGACTACGATACAATGATATATTAACCATTACAATAACATTTGCGAAAGTGACAATAAAATCATCACGTAAATTATAAGACGCAATAAAGGATACTGATAATAAATCGCTGATTTCAAAATCAATGTTTCTGTAGCAATAGTGATGATACCGGCTACAATAAAGACAGGAATCTGAATATTTAACGCATAAGGCGCAATAATGATAATAGTGATAATTATTATCACAACAATTATCCGGTTACAGAAAGAGCGATAGAGGCACACACACACACACACACACACGCACACACACACACACACACACACACACACACACACATATATATATATATATATATATATATATATATAATATAGAGAGAGAGAGAGAGAGAGAGAGAGAGAGAGAGAGGAGAGGGGGGGGGAGGGGGGGGGGAGAGAGAGAGAGAGAGAGAGAGGAGAGAGAGAGAGAGAGAGAGAGAGAGAGAGAGAGAGAGAGAGAGAGAGAGAGAGAGAGAGAGAGAGAGAGAGAGGGGGGGGGGGGAGACAGAGAAATAGACAGAAAGACAGACCAGAGAGAGACAGACAGACAGGCAGACAGAGAGAGAGAGAGGGAGAGAGAGAGAGAGAGAGAGAGAGAGAGAGAGAGACAGACAGACAGACAGACAGACAGACAGACAGACAGACAGACAGACAGACAGACAGAGAGAGAGAGAGAGAGAGAGAGAGACAGACAGACAGACAGACAGACAGACAGACAGACAGACATTTCAAGGCCCTCAGACCAACCATGGTTCGGACCGAGATACGAAGGGCATCTGATCAGAAGTACAAGGCATGGCTTAACTTCAAGCGCAACCCTACTGAGTATAACAAGGCAGTCCATAAACAAGCTGCGGCTTATAGATAGCCACCGAAAAGTAGGCTATACGGCAGTGGGAAAAAGACATGAAAAATAAGCTAAAACTGGTCAAGTTGGTTGCAAACAATGGTGGACTCTAATCAAAGAAAAGCAAGGAGAAACTAAAGAAGGAACTATCCCACCTATAACCAAAC